CGATCTACTGTCTGCTACCAGCCGCTGTCTCATCTGCCTGCTGTCACCAGTATCATTCTTCTTCAGTCTTCATCACATACATACCCTTCTTCTACAACGTTGTCTTTTTTATTGGTGGAAGAAGGATATTTATATATGTGTGTGATTTTTTTATACTATTTTCATTCAATATTTGACATTTAGAAAGATATTTTGTATTCACTAAAAGTATAACTAAAGAAAAAAACATTTTTATAGTTTTGGATAGGATGGAGATGTATGAGAACCCCTTATAGGTTTTTGTTGCTGTCTGTGCCCTCATTAGGGAGATTCACTGTCCCTTCTTTTCCTATTTGCCGTTATCATTTAAAGTGAAAGTAAAAGAAAATCTTACATTTTGGGCTGTCCCCAGAAAAGTCATAAAGAAGAAATCTTCCAATGGGGACACTGGTTCCAATGACCGTGGGGGCCCCAAGGGATTCCCTTATTATGCAAGGATATCCTCTCACCTCCTGTTTTGGGAATGGGACAGGAAGTGAAGTGAAATCTTCACAGCTGGACACAGATGGCAAAAAAAACTCTCCAAAACTCTATCCAAAATGAAAAAGAAAGTTTTGCCTATAGTTATATTTTAAAGCAGCCTTTCTCAACCTTTTCAACACAGGGGAACTCTTGATATAACTTTTCAGTCTCAGAGAATTCCTCCTAAAAATTACTATATCTACAACTCATGATACATTAGTGTGATGGAATGTGGGAAGAATGCTCCTTACACCTGTGGTCAGTGGGAAGAATTACCCCCTTACAGATAACTAAAAAGATCAATTATGTCAGTGGGAACTTATCTGAGAGGCAGAAATTGCTCATTACTCAAGGAACCCCTGGTAACCTCTGGAGAAACTCAGGTTGAGAAACCCTACTTTAAAGTAATTGTTGCTGTGATATTAGGTGAAGTCATTGCTATATCTTTAGACAAGTCTGTTTTGTATTGTTAGAGCATAGCCATAGTCTTGAAAGTGTTACTTTGTTATCCATCTGTCAAACCTTCAAACTGATGACAGCACTCTCTTAACAGCTCAAGTTCCACATCATCATTATAAGAATACTTGTCAATTTCTAATCTGATTCTGACTTGCAAACATTTGCATCAAAAATATATTTTACTACATGTAATGTGGTAGATTTACTAAATGTAATGGGGTAGATTTACTAAATGTATTTGGGTGGATTTACTAAATGCACATAGACTGAGCACTTTGCAAGTGCAGTTGCTCCAGAGCTTAGTAAATGAAGGGAAGCTCTGCTGACATCCATCATCCAATCACATGCAAGAAAAAAAAATGCAACTTTTTAAATATTCCTTGCATGTGATTGGGTATCTTTTGTAAAGTGAAGCTTTACCTCATTTACTAAGCTCTGCTAAGTCTATTTGCCTTAAAGTAGCACTATAGGCACAACTTTTTTTTAAATTTTGGATAGAGTAAGGGAGGGTTATAACCCCTGTTGTTTTGGGGTATTTTTGCCATTTGTGTACCATTGGGGAGATTTCTCTTCACTTCCTGCCAAAACAGAAAGTGAGAGGAAATCCCTACAAATTAAATGAATACCTTGGGACAACCAGGTCACCAGTATAAGTGTCCCCATTGGAAGATTTCCTCTCCATTATTTTTCTGAGGACAACCCAAAATTTAGGATTTAGGAGGATCCCTTTGAGAACGTGCGTGTGCACGAAACACGTCAGAGGGGAGCCTACATGCTGATGTCACGCTGCCGAGTCCATGTGATGGTCTGGCGGCCATCTTTATGAGTCATTTTTATTCCATTGTCTGTATACAGCTCCACGTGGTTGCTAATTTTTAAATAAATATACTACATTATATTACGCTGTCTCCGGGCTTTATTTAAAGAGCTCCCACTTTAGGAGGGATCCCACTCTTGGATAGATCGGTGACAGGAGATGGGAATTGAGCAGATTTGCCCCAAAGTGTCAGTCCATTCTATGCTGGTTTACTAGTTGTTCTGGTGAGTGCATAATGGTAGAGGAATAACATGGAAGTCACGGATGTCACTATTATTATTAGTTCTTCATTTGATCACATCACATTTTCGGACTATTACTTGGTTAAGCTCCATTTTTTGGGGCACATCATTGTGCAATATTTATGTTTCTGCCATTTCATATGTTTGACGCTTATATTGTGTGGTGACACGTTTTTGTATTTATTCATTTGTTTCATGCCATTTAGCACTGCACCATTTTTTATTTGTCTGTTTAAGTGGGAGCAGAGGGTTTACCACATTGTGCCAGCTGCTTTCTTTATTATTATTTATCTTTGCACTCACCATTTACATTCTTTCATTATTTAAACTATGACTGTTGAGCAGAGTTAATTATATGTTTCATACTGTAAATGAAGACATGTCTTAATTGGTTTAACTGTATGGCTGCAGTGAGAAAAAATAACAAAGAATAATATTTTTTTAAATATATTTACAAAGTACTGTCATATCAACTTTGACTTAAAAAAAAGACAACTTTGACTTAAAAAAAAAGACAAGTGTGTGATACATAATTCCTGCTAGAGAAACTGTCTGATTAGATAGTGTTCTTTTTACTTCTATTGTAATAACCCTCATTTCTGAGAACATGCTGTGGGAAAATGCTGTCATGCACGAAAAATACCCTGATCTCATTTGTCATTGTCACCTCTATTAAGCCTGTTTTCTTATTCAGCAAATGTAAATTGTTGAGTTAGAGCTAATGAATTTTAATAAACAGTATACAATTTAGAGTTTTCTCTATTTGTGAAGATCCTCTTATCTGTCTAGCATAAACAGAACATTCAGCAAGGTACAAGAGACTGTTTTGCAATTCAATATTGCAATAAATATAAAAGATTATCCTAGTACATGCATATGGCTTCTAGTTTAAGTAAGAAAAAAAAAATTACTGTTTAATTTAAAGGCAGCTAAAAAAAAAAAAAATGTCAGCGCATTTTATAACATGCCAACATTTTGTGCAAAACCTCCACTAACTGAAGTTAAAGGTACAACATATTTATCATTTAAGATATTTTTAGTGGACATGGTCATGTTTATATTTCTTGACCCCCTTGGGTGAACAATTTTGTGATATCCCCCTTCTATCCAAGCTGACTGGCTAGTTTTACGGTAACACGCACACTCCATCGTATGTCAAAGCCACACAAGGCACACCAAGTCTGGTGGTTGAGAGCAGGAGTGGACTGACAACTCATGGGGCCCCCGGGCAATAGGAAATCATGGGGCCCCTGTGTCCTCGCCCACACTCAAACCACAATTAAAAAGACTATGAAAGGCACCAGGAGCATCTCATGGGGCCCCCTACTGACCCCAGGCCCTCGGGCAGTGCCCGAATGCCTAAATGGTCAGTCCGCCCCTGGTTGAGAGTAACCATACAATACAACCAATCCTAACCACTAAGCAATTTATTCACTCCCTTGTCATATCACGCCTCGACTATTGTAACTCCCTCCTCATTGGCCTACCTCATCGCAGGCTATCCCCCCTTCAATCTATAATGAACACTGCTGCCAGACTCATCCACCTCACTAACCACTCTGTATCTACCACCCCTTTCTGCCAATCCCTCCACTGGCTCCCAGTTGCCCAGCGGATAAAATTCAAAACACTAACTATGACATACAAAGCCATCCACAACACTGCCCAAATTTACATATCTGATCTTATCTCTAAATATCACCCAAACCATACACTCCTCTCCTCGCAAGACCTCCTACTCTCTAGCTCCCTTATCTCCTCCTCCCATGCTCATCTCCAAGACTTCTCCAGGGCGTCACCCATCCTCTGGAATTCCCTACCCCAATCTATCAGACTATCACCTACTCTACTTACCTTCAGGCAATCATTGAAAACCTATCTCTTCAGGGAAGCCTATCCCACCCTCTGCTAATACTGGAATTCTCTACGCTTCCAACCACTCCATCCCCCACAGTTTTACCTATTGTACCATTCACCCCTCCCTCCTATATTGTAAGCTCCAAGGAGCAGGGCCCTCAACTCCCTCTTGTATTGAATTGTATTGTTACTGTATTGTCTCCGACTATAATGTAAAGCGCTGAGCAAATCGTTGGTGCTATGTAAATCCTGTATAATAATAATAAAATAATTTGCCCCCTACACTCTGTCTATACACCTAGGAACAAACAACTAAAAGATAATGGCAATTTGTCACACTGCTTTGCTAGCAGGTTCATTTTAGGTGTGTACAGTATTCCAGCATCAAAAATGCACAGACTGTGCAGGGTCATCTTTAATATGATCCAGGCCAGATTTTCATTGCAGGCAGAGTGGCTATTCGAAACCTTTTATTGCACACTGGTGTGTTTTACTGACAGCAGTATCATGTGTGAGTGTCTGTGTGCTGTCCATGGCAGACCTACCAACCTTGGCCATGGCCTATGCAGAAATCCAAATGTTGGCAGTAGAAAATGTTTGCTAATACTACTACTACTACAGTGTGCCTGTTAAAAATGGAGTTGGGAGAAGGATGACAGTTTACTGGATGAGAAGAGTGGCCAGGGGTATGGAGATGATGGATAGCAGCGAAAGAGGTATAAAAGATTAAAATATTTACAGCTTGATTGAGGCGCATAATAATTACAGTGGATAGAAAAAGTCTACACACCCCTGTTAAAATGTCAGGTTTCTCTGATGTAAACAAATGAGACAAAAATAAATAATTTTAGAACTTTTTCCACCTTTAACCACTTGCCTACAGGGCACTTATACCCCCTTCCTGCCCAGGCCAGTTTTCAGCTTTCAGCACTATTGCATTTTGAATGCCAATTGCGTTGTCATGCAACACTGTACCCATTTGAAATTTTTATCCTTTTTTTGAGACAGATAGCGCTTTTTTTTTTTTTGTGGTATTTAATCACCATGGGTTTTTTATTTTTTGCTAAACAAACCAAAAACCACTGAAAATTTTGGAAAACAAAAACATTTTTTCTTCGTTTTTGTTATAAAATGTTGTAAATACGTGATTTTTCTCCTTCATTGATGTGCGCTAATGAGGCTGCAGTGATGAGCACTGATAGACGGCACTGATGGACACTAATAGGTGGCACTGATGGGCACTGATGAGGAGGCACTAGTAGGTGGCACTGATGGGCATTGACAGGTATCACTGATGGGCACTGAAAGGCAGCACTCATATATGGCACTGATAGGCGGCACTGACTGGCACTCATAGGCGGCACTGACTGGCACTGTTAAATGGCACTGATGGGCACTGATAGGCGGCACTGATGGGCACTGATAGGCAGCACTGACGGGCACTGATAGGCAGCACTGACTGGCACTGATAGGCGGCACTGACTGGCACTGATAGGTGGCACTGATTGGCAGCACTGATAGGTGGCACTGACTGGCACTGATAGGTGACACTGAAAGGCAGCTCAGATGGGCACTGATATGTGGCATTGATGATGTGCACTGGCAGGCACTGATATGTGGCATTGATGAGGCACTGATGGGCACTGGCAGGTGGCACTGATGGGCACTGACAGGTGGCACTGCTGGGGCTACACTGATCATCAGGGCACACTGATCATCAGTGCCCTGATGATCAGTGTAGATGTCCCCCTCTGAGGAATGCTGATTACCGTCTCTCCTCTCCTCTTGAGCTGTCAGCAGCATTTCCCTATTTACAAGTGATCAGCTGTGATCGGACACAGCTGATCACATGACCGAGCCGGCATCTTCGGCTCTTTCCATTGATCGGTAAACCACTGTGTCCAAAGGACACAGAGCACCACCGATCACCACGCATATGCGCGGTTAGAGTGGGAGGACGTCATACGATGTCCTCCCAGAACGAGAGAACCGCCTTGCGCCCGTCATTACCTTATATGGCGGGCGAGAGGCGGTTAATGTACCTTATAAACTGTACAACTCAATTGAACAACAAACTGGAATCTTTTAGGTATTTGAGTACTGGAGAATGGTAACGGATAAGTTGGAGTCATATTTGGGAAAATAATAGGATTTGGCCAAAGACTGGAAAACTAAGACAGATAAGTTGAAGTGGGATCAATGGCACGGGAGTGGAGGGGAATGTGTGAGAAATATTAGGATTACATAAAGCATACAGGTTATTGGAAGCAAAAGCAGAAACACATGCCTGGAAATGGAAATGACTTGGTAAGATCAGCTTTCCACAAGTATAGGATAGGATAAAGGATGATAGGTTATTATAGGGTTTTACATTAGAACTCCTTTGCCTGCTTGTGCTGCTACATGGGTCATGGCAAAATCAAGTACAGAGGATTGAAGGAAATGCAGCCAGTGAGTGTCATTTAAAGTAAACCTGTAGTTTGCCTCTGCAGGCAAAGCAGCAGGTTTGAAATAAAAACTAAATCCCGTAGCACCAAATATACATTTTTTTTTTTTTCCCCTTTTATTTCTTGAGAGAGATGGAAATACTGTACATGTTACTTACAGGCTTGTTAGAGCAAGTGGCTCATTCTTCTTACCCACTTGAAACAGCACTGGTGCTTGGGATTGGTGCAGTGTTGTCACTTGGAATTGAGAAGACAATAAAAGTTTTATAAGCTTTAACCAGAAATCCAGTTAAAGCTTACACACAGCCTGCTTTCCTTTCTTCCCAGCTGTTGAATATGGGAAACAAAGAAAGGGTAATTATGAGCTGCTGAAGGACCAAGGTTTGAAGGGTAAAGGAATTTGCTCATTAACTGCTTGTACCATTTCTACCTCCCAACCTAAATTAACCCACCCTTCACCACCCCATATTTATATTCAACTACATGCCCTGTTGTGCCTGCACAGTCAACCAACAGAGATCATTTTTGTAGGCATGGCCAGTGCAAAGAAGGTTTCACAGCAGGGTATACACTGGCAACTAGATACAAGCAGCATAGGCAAAGCATGAGTTAATTGTTGCACTGTGCAAAACTTTAATACTGTTAAAGAGAGGGCAACATGTTACCTGTGGAACCTCTAATGTCTTCTCTGTGTGCAGTTGATACAGATTGGAAACAGAAAGTTTTTATGGGATGCAATCTGATCCTTGAAGTGTAAAGGCATTATAAATAGAGATGAGCGAATTTCTCAAAAATTAGATTCGGCTGATTCGGCGAATTCCAGTGTGAAATTCGATTCGATGCGAATTTCTTCGCTACGAAGATGACATATAAAAAGGGTTTCTAGGCTTCAGAGAGCCTTTAAATTAGTGCAGAACACTGTACCTTTAATTTAAATGCCCTTGGAGATGAGGAAAGAGAAGGAGAAGGAGAAGGATGAGAAGAAGGAGAAGGATGAGAAGAAGGAGAAGGAGAAGGATGAGAAGAAGGAGAAGGAGAAGGATGAGAAGAAGGAGAAGGAGAAGGATGAGAAGAAGGAGAAGGAGAAGGATGAGGAGAAGGAGAAGGAGAAGGATGAGGAGAAGGAGAAGGATGAGAAGAAGGAGAAGGATGAGAAGAAGGAGAAGGAGAAGGATGAGAAGAAGGAGAAGGATGAGAAGAGAAGGCAAGGAGAAGGAGAAGGATGAGAAGATGGAGAAGGAGAAGGATGAGAAGAAGGAGAAGGAGAAGGATGAGAAGAAGGAGAAGGATGAGAAGAAGGAGAAGGATGAGAAAGAAGGAGAAGGAGAAGCAGAAGGAGAAGGATGAGAAGAAGGAAAAGGAGAAGGATGAGAAGATGGAGAAGGAGAAGAAGATGAGAAGGAAGAAGAAGAGAAGGAGAAGGATGAGAAGAAGGAGAAGGAGAAGGATGAGAAGATGGAGAAGGAGAAGGATGAGAAGAAGGAGAAGGAGAAGGATGAGAAGAAGGAGAAGGATGAGAAGAAGGAGAAGGAGAAGGATGAGAAGAAGGAGAAGGAGAAGGAAGGATGAGAAGAAGGAGAAGGATGAGAAGAAGGAGAAGGAGAAGGATGAGAAGAAGGAGAAGGAGAAGGATGAGAAGAAGGAGAAGGATGAGAAGAAGGAGAAGGATGAGAAGAAGGAGAAGGATGAGAAGAAGGATGAGAAGAAGGAAGGAAGAAGAGAAGGATGAGAAGAAGGAAAGGATGAGAAGAAGGACAGTTCTGTGACAGTTTCTTTCTGTCTATTTCTGACAGTTCTGGGGACATTCACTCCATACAGCTGTTTCAACCGCTGTATGGAGGGAATGTCATGGAATTGTCAGAAATAGTCTATTTCTGACAGTTCTGGGACATTCACTCCATACAGCTGTTTCAACCGCTGTATGGAGGGAATGTCATGGAACTGTCAGAAATAGACTATTAATGACAGTTCTGGGACTCTGACAGTTCCATGACATTCCCTTCATACAGCGGTTGAAAACAGCTGTATGGAGTGAATGTCCCAGAACTGTCATTAATAGTCTATTTCTGACAGTTCCATGACATTCCCTCCATACAGCGGTTGAAACAGCTGTATGGAGTGATTGTCCCAGAAACTGTCAGAAATAGTCTATTTCTGACAGTTCTGGGACATTCACTCCATACAGCTGTTTCAACCGCTGTATGGAGGGAATGTCATGGAACTGTCAGAGTCCCAGAACTGTCATTAATAGTCTATTTCTGACAGCCGGCTTGGAATTATTCTTATTTTCATCCTACTTCTTCTTTTTCTTCTTATGAGGATGAGGATGAGGATGAAGAAGAAGAAGTAGGATGAAAATAAGATTAATTCCAAGCCGGCAAAAAGTGTATCTGCAGCGCTCCTCTAAGTGTATTTGCAGAATGTCATTTATGGAAAAAAATAGATACAATGTTTCAACCGCTGTATGGAGTGAATGTCCCAGAACTGTCATAAATAGTCTATTTCTGACAGTTCTGGGACATTCACTCCATACAGCTGTTTCAACCGCTGTATGAGGGAATGTCATAGAACTGTCAGAAATAGACTATTAATGACAGTTCTGGGACTGTCCTTCCATACAGCGGTTGAAACATTGTATCTATTTGTTTCCATAAATGGATCCATTTATGGAAACAAATAGATACAATGTTTCAACCGCTGTATGGAAGGACAGTCCCAGAACTGTCATTAATAGTCTATTTCTGACAGTTCTATGACATTCCCTCCATACAGCGGTTGAAACAGCTGTATGGAGTGAATGTCCCAGAACTGTCAGAAATAGACTATTTATGACAGTTCTGGGACTGTCCTTCCATACAGCGGTTGAAACATTGTATGTATTTGTTTCCATAAATGGATCCATTTATGGAAACAAATACATACAATGTTTCAACCGCTGTATGGAAGGACAGTCCCAGAACTGTCATTAATAGTCTATTTCTGACAGTTCCATGACATTCCCTCCATACAGGAGCGGTTGAAAAACCCTACATACAGCAAACAGCTGTATGGAGTGATTGTCCCAGAACTGTCAGAAATAGTCTATTTCTGACAGTTCTGGGACATTCACTCCATACAGCTGTTTCAACCGCTGTATGGAGGGAATGTCATGGAACTGTCAGAAATAGACTATATTAATGACAGTTCTGGGACTGTCCTTCCATACAGCGGTTGAAACATTGTGTATGTATTTGTTTCCATAAATGGATCCATTTATGGAAACAAATACATACAATGTTTCAACCGCTGTATGGAAGGACAGTCCCAGAACTGTCATTAATAGTCTATTTCTGACAGTTCTATGACATTCCCTCCATACAGCGGTTGAAACAGCTGTATGGAGTGAATGTCCCAGAACTGTCAGAAATAGACTATTTCATGACAGTTCTGGGACTGTCCTTCCATACATACAGCGGTTGAAACATTGTATCTATTTTTTTCCATAAATGATTCTTCTGCAAATACACTTAGAGAGCGCTGCAGATATACACTTTTTGCCGGCTTGGAATTAATCTTATTTTTCATCCTACTTCTTCTTCTTCATCCTCATCCTCATAAGAAGAAAAAAGAAGAAGTAGGATGAAAATAAGAATAATTCCAAGCCGGCAAAAAGTGTATCTGCAGCGCTCCTCTAAGTGTATCTGCAGAATGTCATTTATGGAAAAAAATAGATACAATGTTTCAACCGCTGTATGGAGTGAATGTCCCAGAACTGTCATAAATAGTCTATTTCTGACAGTTCTGGGACATTCACTCCATACAGCTGTTTCAACCGCTGTATGGAGGGAATGTCATAGAACTGTCAGAAATAGACTATTTATGACAGTTCTGGGACTGTCCTTCCATACAGCGGTTGAAACATTGTATGTATTTGTTTCCATAAATGGATCCATTTATGGAAACAAATAGACATACAATGTTTCAACCGCTGTATGGAAGGACAGTCCCAGAACTGTCATTAATAGTCTATTTCTGACAGTTCCATGACATTCCCTCCATACAGCGGTTGAAACAGCTGTATGGAGTGATT